TTCTATTTGAAAAATATTGAGATATGATTAAAAATACTATTTCGGCATCTTTTAACCGACCAGGACAAGACACGAAAAACATTAAACGAGCAAATCTATTTTTCCAAGGCTCCTTGATTAAGAGTTAGTCTTTTCTAGATTTAAATTTAAAATACGTTTTTTAAGGAAGAATGTCAAAAATATACACATGATATGTCATTCTATTCAGAGTGTCATTTTCTTTTGAATAAAGTAAAAATATACTGAGGATGCCATCAGAGCCGGCGGAAGGCAAATATTGAGACCGGGCGAGTACCCTATCTGGCGCCCCGCCCCCAATAGTTATTATAATTCTCTTTTTCTTTCAATACTGTCCTTTAACTACAACTAAGCATATTTATGCTACTTTAACAATAAATTTTCACTTAAAAATACTTCAAAATTCTTCTCTTCTTTCAATCTTAGTCTGCGGTTTTTGTTTTTTGTATACCGGGTGCGTCTCGAAATTTACTCACCCCTATAACTTTTTAATTTTTTTACCTAAAAACGAAATTTGGTATGTTAGTATATGACATAAATTATTAGGATTGACTATTCAATTGTTTTTGGCCACTTTCTGTTTCACCGGAAATGACTAAAATTTCTGATTTTTAAATGGTACCTCGGTATATTTCTACTTTATTCGATAGAAAATGACACTCTGAGTAGAATGACATATTTATCATATATCAACTTTTGACATTTTCTTTCAAAAAGCTTTATATTTTAAATTTCAATCTAGAGTGCCATGGCTCTGTTAAAAACACTAATTTTTAAACATGGAGCCTTGGAAAAATTGATTTAATCGTCTAATGTTTTTCATGTCTTGTCCTGGCCTGTCCAAAAGATGCCAAAATCATATTTTTAATCGAAAATATCAAAAGATGACATGTGTCATAAAGTAGAAATATACCGAGGATGCTATCGAGGGTGCCATTTAAAAATCAAAAGTTGTAGGTAGTAATTTCCGGTGAAACAGGAAGTGACCAAAAACAATTGAATACGTCAATTAATCCTAATTTATGTCGTCTACTAACATACCAAATTTCGTTTATTTTCTGAAAAAAATACACAAGTTATAGGGGTAAACTACTTTTGAGACGCACCCGGTATATAGAGTTATGAGAAGTAGAATTCCTTTTGAAATAGAATTATCTTTGAAAATATTAGTATTTAGTTTCAAGCAGTTGCATGATTTTCTATTAGAATTTAAGAAAATTTTCTTTTCTTTTTCACAATCAATGATTTCATGCGGAATCAGTTTATGATCAGATACAGTTTTGTATCTGATCATAAACTTCAAAATGAGGTTCAGCCAGTGTTTGAGATGCATTCCTTTTGTCTTGCTCTAATGAGAAAATTCTACGATTCTGCTACCATTTTCCGTGTATTATTACACATTCGATTGGGAAAATCAAAATCATCAACAGATTGATATGTATTTTTCCCACTACTGTTAATAAATTAATTTAACTAATGAGGCAAACTTATAAGCTTTTTTTTTGGATAATAAGGATATCGAGCTTCTTGCAAATGAATATTTACCTCATATAATTTTAGGGTACATCAGCCATTAATAACAAATAAAATGGTAGTAGAAAAAGTGCTATTTTGAGCAGTCAGTCTAAAACTGTCAATTTTGCTGGCTCTTGACCCAAAACAGTTTGTTTAGAGAAAATTTATAAAAACACAAATTATGGAAAGAAAGGTTATTTACAAAAAGTTGATAGCTTTTGAATTATAAGTAAAATACCACGAAAAAATCAGATTTATATCTTTTTATTTTATTTTGTTTAAGATTTTTCCACGAAAATGAATTCGCAAATCCCAGTTTCGAATAGAGCACCCAAAAAACATATAGAATGGAAGAAATTAAAACTATCCCAAAACTTTCGTGCAGAGGATTTTTTGAGCCTAATTTCAGTCTAGGATATAGTAGTGTTTATAATGTTTAAGTCAGCTATTCTTTCCTATGTGGTGTGGTAATTGGTAATATTTTAATGTGGAAATTCATAGTACCGATTAATTATTGATCTGGTCATTCGTTACTCTTTTTTTAGATTACTGTTTTAAACATTTTAGTTGCCGTCGTAGCGCCCCTCGTATACGGCGCCCCGGGCGGCCCTTGCGCCGGCCCTGGATGCCATTTAAAAATCAAAAGTTGTAGTCATTTCCGGCGAAACAGGAAGTGACCGATAACAATTGAATACGTCAATCAATCCTAAATTATTTCATATACTGCCATACCAAATCTCGTTTTTTATCTGAAAAAATAAAAAAGAAGTGATAGAGATAAGCCACTTTTGAGACGCACCCGGTATTTACAGTTCATATTTCTTATAGCAACAAATAAAAGTTTTATTATGAAATATAAATTTTTGCAATCAAATTTAAGTAAGTTTAATGTTCGGCACTAAATTTATATCAACTTCTAAATTCAAGAGCAAGGTTTCTGTTCATTATTTTGGTATACCCCGACGATCGATACCGTCTAAATATACCTCTATGGTTTCGTTTATTTTTCCAACAGGGCAGCTAAATAAAACACCTAAAGTATATCAGTCAAGATTTATTTATTTTTTATTTATAGTAAACTCTCGAAGGTTTTCTGATATACAGAGATCCCTGATAGTGACAGCTTTATTTACAATAAAATTCTTTTTACAATATTTTCCCGACTATTTTTAGATTCGGGCTTATGGAAATTTACACTGTTGTTTATTCGTGTTTTTCTTCCTCTTACAGAAATTAACTGTAGAGAGGCATGTCGAAAAGTTAGTTTTTCATTAAAACCTTCAAAATATACATAATTCGAAACCAACTTTTCGATTTTTTTTATACGACACAATTGCTCATAAAATAAGCAATGTGTTCATTGCACGAAGGAACGCTCAATATATTAAAAATATTTATATAAATATACAATGATTTTTAATATTCACAGTCAAAAATTAAGGTTTTAGCAACATTTTATTAATTCCAAGATAAAAATTACAAGAAGGCGAATTTACAATAATATAAAACAAAAATTGCAGGGCCTATAAATATACATCATTTATTGTAAAATATAATCATTCACAAATTACTTTAAACACATAAAACGTATAATAAACTCAGATTAAATATAGGTACATATTTAATTTGATTTGTATAATCGAAAAAAACGGCGTCAGCGTAGGCTATGAAATGAATATCACTTATATTTTCATTTTCGTCATTTTATATGGGAAATGTCATCGATCGTCATTTCCCAGCTAACTGGACGTCGTTTTTTTTTCAATCATACGGTATGTACATCAATTAATTACATTACAGTCAAAAAGTTATATAGTCAAGTGGGCTTTGACTTTGACAGAATTCTAATATAATTTTTCATAAGATTTGTTTTCCTCTGTCATTACATAATATATTGCACACATGATAATAAAACTTCTTGATCACACTGTATTTAAAAAAGAATTAATACAAAACAAGAACAGAGTTTATAATAAGTTGTATTGCAATTTCTGTTTTTTGCTGTTCATTAAAATATTGCTAAAACTTACTTTACAAAAGACAATTAGAAAACATAATATGTAAAAAATATTTACAGCTTCACAGCAACATTTACAAAAATATATACAGCGTATTTTTATAAACAAACAAAATAAATAACAATAATTCGATCACAGGCTAGAAAGAAGAGTGTCAAAATTACATAAAATTTATATTTTATCTATTCCTCCTAACCAAACAATTTTCACCCCCCTTGAATACAAAATTTGTCTATAAAAGATTTATTATACAGACTGGATAATTCTATTAGAAATTCATTTTCCCAGAATGGTCCTTATGTGGAGATATTTGTAACCATCCAATCTGTATAACGTTTATAGAATGTTTTAAGAAATATTATACACATTAAAATTGAAGTCTTGAAGTGTATGTTTCGGTAATTTTTGTTTTAGGAAATATATATATGCGAAGAAATATGAGTATATGAAGATATTAGTGGGCATATAATAAAATTATTTAGATTAGTTAATTTAATGTTACTTAAATATTAATTATCTATACGTTTATATTATCTTATTATTATTAATTTATGCAGATTACTTATACTGGGCGAGTCTTAAATAAGTACAAATATATTTAGGGGTAATATATTTCGACCCCAGAAACACATCTATGAGGTTTTTCTCCCGAAAAAAATGAAAATTTAGAATTTTTTCAAAAATGTTCTAGAATTTTGTTTAATTTTTAGATAAAAAAACATAATATTTTCAAAATATGACAACATAGGTAGTAGATCAAATTTACCAGAAAGAAAATCCAGAAAAGATCCAATGGTTCTCAAAATTTAAACCAAAAATATTTTTTTTGGGAAATTTTCAAAATAAAATATCTGTTATTTTGGACTTATTTGAAAAAGGATAAAGAGAAAATATGTTTCTTTTATCGAGAACTACTAGCCCTGAAAATATTTACACTTATTTAAGACTCACCCTGTATAAAAATAATCGTAATAGTAAAACATAATTAATGTCAATATTGTAATAATGAAGGAGAAGCAAATTTTTTGATATTTTAGAGCTGTTATTTAGAAATAACAGTTGTAACTGTTGTTTTGGTACTTTAAAAAATAACAGGTATAAAAATAACAGTGGATTATAACAAGTTGGGATAGTGTGCAACGAAATTTAACAAACATATAAATAAACAACGAGTTTTGAGAGTAACTGTTATTCGAAAAACCTTAGAAGTGTCGTTTTTGTTTTAGACTTATAGAATTATCTACTAACATTAGTTTAATTTCTTCTTTGAGTTTTTCTGTTTATTTTTAAAATTACAGTTGTGGGTTGGAGCCTTTGGTCTTACAACAACAAAATAGTTCACCACAATGCACCAAAATACTTTACTTTTGCACTGGACTCGCATTTCGCTAACTATGTTAGCATCATCAGCAGATGATTAGAACTAGACGGTAAATTTTAATCATCTGCTGATGATGCAAAACTTAGTTAGCAAAACGCGCGACAAGTATAAAAGTAAAGTGTTTTGGTGTATTGTGGTAAAACAGTGATTTAAAGATTGAGATAAGATCAATTTTAAGATTCCAACCCCCAACTGTAAGAAACCTGTTATTCTTCAAATAACAGTTCTATCCGCTCTGTTATCTCCACAAAGACTTATTTATTTCAACGTGTATAACATTTCAACTGGACAATAATCCTCAACATCACTTAAACCCTAATACGCCGTGGCCGCCCCCGTGTGATGATGCAACCCACTAAACGGACCCCCCAGCCCACTCAAATGTTCCGTATGACTGTTGGGTCCCGGAGGCTGACACCCCGTGTACCAGTCACTGATCGAGGTCGCTCCAGGCACTTGCAGCCCACCAGAGTTCTGCACGTGCGGACTCACGGCCACCGAGATGGAACCCGCACTGGAAGTGTTGCTCTCCTCACCATCGGAGTCGTAGTGAGGAGGTGACCTCCCGCTCATCCCGTGCACCTTCATGTGCTTCCTGAGTGAGGAGGGGTGTGTGTAGGACTTGTCGCAACCCGCGACGCGACAGTTGTAGGGCTTGTCGGAGGTGTGGACGTGCGAGTGCTTCTTCCGGTCGGAGCTGTTGGCAAAGCGTCGGTCGCAGCCCTCGAATTCGCACTTGAAGGGTTTCTCGCCTGTAATAACAAGGAAAAAAGGATTTAGTAATGTGTAAACTTGGAAAATAAGTTATAGTAATACTTTTATTGTCCACTATTATAATACAAAATATGCATTCTTTTTAAAAACCATATAGATATAAAATTTGGAACTTTTGGAAATGTTTAGTTAAAAGACATAATATATTCATAATATGGCAAAATATATACAGGGTGGTCCGAACTGTATTCCGGAAACTTCGGCAGCATATTTTCCAGATTAAAACAAGTAAAAAAGTTACAGGGTGTAGAAGTTTCATTTTTATTTCGATTTTTTTCCAAATAATTTAAGTAACGTCAATATTTGGATGAAAATTGGTGTCTGGGAGTTTTTGGACATGAGAAAATCAAATTTGTCGTGTCACAAAACTCCCGAACACCAATTTTCATCCAAATATTGACGTTACTTCAAAAATTATTTAGAAAAAATCGAAATAAAAATGGAACTTCTACACCCTGTATCTCCGAAACTAAGTATTTTAGGACATACATTTATACGAACTTTTTTACTTATTTTTATCTGCAGAATATACTGCCGAAGTTTCCGGAATACAGTTCGGACCACCCTGTATAGTAGATTAAATTTAAAAGAAATAAAATCCAGAAAAGATCCAGTGGTTCTCAAAATTTAAGCAAAAAATCATTTTATTTTATTTTCAAAGTCTCGGTTATTTTGGCCTTATTTGAAAAACGGTAAACAGAAAATATGTTTCTTTTATGGAGATCTACCAGCCCTGAAAATATTTGCATTTATTTAAGACTCACCCTGTATACCGGGTGCGTTTTAAAAATGCCTCACTCCTATAACTTTTTTATTTTTTCAGATAAAAAATACTAGATTTGGTATGTTAGTATATGACATAAATTAGGAATGATTGCCATTTTCAATTCTTTTCCGCCATTCCAGTTTCACCGGAAATGATTACAATTTTTGATTTTTAAATGGTACCCTCGGTATTTTTTTACTTTATTCGATAGAAAATGACACTCTGAATAGAATGACATATATCACAACAACAATGGCAATATGTCAACTTTCGAGACAAAATTGTATTTTAAGGTTCAATCTAGAGTACCACTGGTTGTGTTAAAAATACTAATTTTTAATCAAAGAAACTTGGAAAAATAGATTTGATCGTCGAATATTTTGAATGTTTTGTCCTGGCTCATATCTCAATTTTTTCCAATGAAAAGGTGTAATTTGGTACCATACGCTTGGTATTTCGAGACAAATTGTCGTTATGAATCGCATGTTGTAATTTCAAATAAACCATATTCGAAAATGTCAAAAGTTGACATATGTCATTATTCTATTAAGAGTGTCATTTTCTAGAATAAACTAAGAAAAATCCTAGGGTGCCATTTAAAAATCAAAAGTTGTAGTCATTTCCGGTTAAACAAGAAGTGACCGAAAACAATTGAATACGTCAATCAATCCTAATTTATGTCATATACTAACATACCAACTCTCGATTTTTTTTCTATAAAAATTTATGGAGGTGAACTAATTTTGAAACGCACCCGGTATAAAAGTATTTAAACATTTATTTCCTATTTCTGGAAATGGTAATATGTATACTTTTTGTATATGTTTATAGGTACACATACAACGAGATGGTATTAAAAAATAAAATTGTAACAACCGACACCGTATGATCCCAAAAAAACGGCGAAATGACGATCGATGATTTCCTAAATAAATTTACATATAAAATGACAACGATTGTCATTTCATAGCCGTTATACATTTTCATTTCATACGGTATTTTAGAAATGTCTAGGGTCATATCAAAAAACACCTAGACATCAATTTTCACCCAAATATTGATTCTAGTTCAGAAATGATTTAGAAAAAACCGAAATAAAAATGTAGCTTCTACACCCTGTATCTCCTCTATTATACAAACATTTTTACTTATTTTCATCTGCAGAATATGTTGCCAAAGTTTCCCGAATACAATTTGGACCGCCCTGTATATTAAAAAATAAAAAAAGTCAGACAAATAATGTTTCTTTTTTAAAGTTTCATTTGAATTAGATTAATCAAAAAAGCTATTTATGTAATGATTTTCTACGTAGAAAATACCTTCGGTAAAAATCAGAAGGTGCAAGACTTGAGAGAGTCTTCCAAAAAGTCCAGGACCAAGAGTACTTATTAGCAAGATCAAGATTAATGAGAATCTTGCTAATAACTGATAATAACAACGTATTTGAATAAAAATAAACTTTTCAAATCAACAATATTAACAATAGAATATTTAAAGGTTAAAATAAAATTATTTTATCAGAAAAACATCTGTTCCTTCTTCGAATGAAAAATTACGACAACAATTAAATAGTATAAATTATTTTTATTTTGTCGCTGTTGACATTTATGTCCAGTCAATTATATAAGTTGTAAATTAATATTCATTATAACTTCCTAATTACTAGCCAGATGTTATCAGATAAATAAGTATTACCTAATTATAAATTGGCAAAAATAATTTGTACCTAAATTATTTTGCTGCTAACGAATATACAAACATTCACAATGATTGAATTTAAAATGAGTACAAAGAATTAGTTAATCAAAACTTAAATTACGTGTTGAATTAAATTCAGAATATATTTTCGCTCTTTTACTGGCATTTAAAATAAAGAGTCGAAATATTTTAATCAACATAAAAAAAAAGATACATACATTAATATTATTAGTTAGTTTTGTTTTATTAAAAATCGCATCGTTCATATATGGGGCCATCCAAAACGCTGTCCATGAATGATGGGCTTGGGAACCATAGGTATATGCGATCTCGAACCCAAACGATTTGGTCCCACATTCCATCATACGTAGGCGGTTGGAATGGACGAAAAAAAGGGATAAAAAAGTTACATTTGACCCTTTAGGATGGACCCAAAAAGAAACAAGTATCTTTCAAGTCTGCTAAGTTTATTACCTATGTCTTAATTTTTACTCTCGCACCTTTCATACCTTAATAAAATAATTTGTTTGTGACCTGGGTATTTTAATTTGCATTGGTAAGCGCTTAAAAATAAAAGAAAATATATATGTCTGATTCAACAATATCAATCATTTACAATCCACCGAAAATATTAATTTTCAATCGACTTAGCTTGTATGTAAAAAATGTTTTAGCTGTGTTTTGATTTCTTTTAAGTACATTTGTTATTTTCTACATTGTTTGGTTACATTTGCTTTTATTGATTTTTACATATTTAAGTAAACGAAGAAAAAATGTCAGTATTATAGATTTACATTAGAAAAACAAATTAAATATACATTATTATATATTATGTGTATTATAATATTATATTATATATTATTATACAGGGTGGCGCCTCTCATACGACGTGGACTCTCCAAGGAGAACGACAGTTTGTATTGAAGTGAAGTTTTGTAAGCATGTGTAGTTTCATTTAGAGCATTTATAGAGTTCTACAGGGTGTTCCCAAAAAAGTTACACATCAAAGTTTTTGTAATCGAATACCCTATATATTAATTGATTTTTGGATTCTAGGAGAAAAAATAAAGGTGAGGTTCAATTAATAAGTATATATGACTAAAATGAAAGGTTTTTTGGCATATTTTTAACATTCAACAAAAATGAAGAACAATTTTTAAATTTCAATAAAAGCTAGCTAAATTGGACTTTACTTGGATCTAATATGGCGTTAAAATAACCATTATAATTTAACTCAAATTGAAACTGGACCCAAAAAGTTATAGCGGGTGAGACAAAATTAATATTCAACTTTGGTTACATTTAAAAGCAAGTAATTATTTTATTTGAAATGAAACACCCAGTATATTATTCCGCTATTCAATGGAAAATTAATATCTCTTCAAAAATACTACATAATAAGGTTGCCTACTTTTAAACAAAGATTTCCAAGATATTTTAATTTTTATGATTTAGTGTCAGCAGATGATAATTTTGATAATTTTTTAATAGTGTAATAGAATGGCACATATTGTGATTTAATCTGCCATTCTATTACTATTAGTAATTAGTAGACTATTATACTCCAAAAAAAATTACATAAGTATTTAGAAAGTATAATCATGACAAAACAATATAGTAAAGTATCGCAGTAAAAATATAGTAAAGTACCGTATGATCGAAAAAAAACCGCGGCCAGTTGGCTGGGAAATGACGATCGATGACATTTCCCATACAAATTTACACATAAAATGACAGCGATCTTCATTTCATAGCCATGGCTGACGCCGTTTTTATTCGATCATACGGTATAAGTGGAATAACTGGTAGTATAATTCAGTATATGACAATATTGATATTCAATAGAAAGAGATTACATTAGGAATGTAGCTGAGTGTAATGGATATTCTCCTTCAATAGTTGATAAAATAATTAGAAAACGTAGGTATAAGTTTTTGATTTCTGAAAATTCGACTTTTGAAGTGGAGAAAGATACGTCAAAATATTTTTCAATATTGTTTGATAGAGAATTATCCCGTGGTCTAAAAGGAATTTTTAAGAATGTCAATTATAAACTTGTATATAGTGCTAATAATAAATTACACCAATTATTAGGTAATCCAAAGGATAAAACACATCTACTGGAAAGATCGGGTATTTATGAAATTTCTTGTAAAGATTGTAATCAAAAATATGTTAGGCAAACTAGAAGATTAATATTAACTAGATTTAAAGAACATTTAGCTCAGATAAGATACGGTAGACCGGATAAATCTTGGCTTTGCTGAACATATTGTTGATAAAGAATATTGTATAGATCTTAATCACCGCGACCTTACAGATGTATGGTGTGTTTTAAAAAAATTATAGACTTCTGGAATGTTTTCTTCATCGAAATTACAATTGGCGTTATTTGGGACAAGGTGTTCTTAATAGCGCCAACAGCAACCGAATATATTTTTTTCATGAAACTTTAATATGGCGTTAATTGGTTCACTGACCTTAACAAATTCCAATGTTCTAGTACGAGTCTTT